CCCCCCCAACCCTGAGGTTATATAGGCTCTCTCTCTCTATACACACACACACACACACACACACACAGAGACGAGAGATGCTGATTCGATTTGCGCGAATGATTTGGCAGAGCGGCGGTCGCTCGGTGCCTTTGACGCGCCAGAACCGATCGTTAGCTCCGTCTGTGCTGCCGCTGAAGTTCAAAGGACTGTATCGGAAAACAATTTTTTTTTTCCTCCCCCCACCCACCCTCTGTCGGCACCGCCTTCGATTTATATGTATACCTGTGCGCGAACGAGGGATGAGATGGTCGATTGGAAAGCGATTCCGCGCGCATGTGTATATTTATAGAGTAATCCGATGCAACAACGATTCTGTACCGGAATCATGAAAATTTTTTCCCCTCTGGTACATTTTGTATATGTACGCGGAGTGACAAGAAACGAGAAGTAGAAAGGGTAAACGTTCGACGCGACGTATCGAGAAAATTCCGTGTATGGTAATACAGCCGGGCTTTGTTGGCTGTCGATTTCGCTGGTGCTGATTGCGGGTGGAGCGTTTTCGCGGGGAGGCGACATTATTTACGCAAGAACCAGGATGAGGTATGTGTGTGTGTGTGTCGTCGCTTTCCGATTGATTGCTCCTCGGGGGGGTGTTTGTCCCGCTAATGCCCTTTTTTTTTTTTTCCCCCCCACGCCGAGAAAGTTCAACGAGACCGGCTCTCCGAGGTGCAAGTGTTTAAGTTGGTAATTGATTTCTGCACAACGTGGGTGGACCCTCTCGGTGAATGGCCTTTTTTGCCACCAAAGGACCTGGACGGTGTATATATACGGCTGCAGAGTAACGCACGGCTGTTACAAGTTTAATTCGCAAATCCATCCGAACGAGCTCGTGGCAGTGCTGTTGGGTGAAAAAGGGAAAGAAAGGGGAGACATGTATACTTCGTTTCGGCGAAACCTTTGACGGTCATTTCGCGGAGAGGGTCTTTTCTGCAACGACGTCTATTTCTCCGCTTGAAAACCTCCCCTACGTATCCAACTGCATCTATCTTTCGAAAAAAAAGGCTCTGCGCTCACTCCTGCACTGCTTATACTCTTTCTCCGGTGTAGCGTTAAATAATGTTGAAAAAAAGCTATTCTGTGCTGCATAAGACTTTATCGCGTGTCCTACGCGTTAAACGTGTCTTTTGCCATGCCAGAGGGATGAAAAAAAAAAAAAATAAAAATAAAATACCTCGCACGAAGATTTGACCTGCGTCCAGGTCTCGGTGTTGGGCACCATTATGGCCAGCGGAGTGGGCAAGAGCGGATACGGTGGTGGTGAACCTGTCGGCGACATCGATTTCATCTTGTACAAAAAATCGTTGCCATTGAAACTGTTGGTCGACGCGAGGGTGCTGCAGGGCTCGTTTGGAAACGTCAAGAGCTCATCGCCACGATCCAAGGTGGTCAGCAAAGACAAAAGGGACACGGCCGTCATACAAATCGTAGCAGATGTTATCAGGGCCGTGCGGCGACCGCAACGCTCGACGACGATCAGGCACAGCAGGGTGCTGAATACTCGCACGACACCCAGTGCCACCATGGACGTGACTCTGGCGATGTCTGAAAAAAAAAAAAAAAACAATAATAAAATTCTAGACATTTAGAAGTACAGTTGGTTCATACAAGTGCACTAATGGGCCAAGGTCCGTTGCAAGCATCGTTTGTTCAAGAAATGTGACGCAGGTGATAAGTCATCATTCGTGTCGTCAAACAATTATACTTTTGAAACGAAGAATTCGAGGGTATCATATGATGGGGTAAAGGTACATACTCGAACAAATGCCCAAGAGGGCGAACAATCTGGGGGCGTAGTAGAGAACTTGCTGTCTGCCGGTGGCCTGCCTGAGCGCCAGCATGATCATCATGACGATGAGCGTCTCGAAGACGTAGCACCAGGAATTTTTGACAGGTACGCGTGGCACGTTGGCCACCCTCTTGAGTAGCATGAAGGACGGGGATCTCTGGAGAAAGATGATGGTGACGATGCAGGTCAGCAGAGCGGGGGCCGACGTGAGGCCGACGACGAAGCGCCACTGGTGATCCTCGCTCTTGGCGCTTGACGCGATGACGGCCAACAGGAGGCCAGCAGCCGAGCCAGCCTGGTGGAGAGTTATGTTGCAGCCGCGCTTGCTCGCGCTCGACACTTCGGCCATGTAGATGCAGTGGGCAATGGCTGACAGGGTGCCCGCGTAGCCGCATATTATTCGCGCGACCAGAAACAACATGTAGTGGTTCGCCAAGGCCGAGAGCATCGTGCCAAACGTGAGGAAAACCAAGGAGAATATCATGGTGCAACGGCGGCCGCAGGTGTCTATTAGAATGCCTGGAATGCAATACTAAATTTAGATGATTGAATTCTTTTTATTTTTATTTTTGTACCCCTTAATTGTCTCTCTTTTGATCTTCATGAATTTCAAGATTTTTTATCGTATAAATATAGAAATTGGAAGAATCAACAGGATGTCCCTAGCCCAAATTTTTTTTAATTTTGCGCTTGAAGCTCCGGCTTATAAATTTACAGATGACGAGAAAAGAAGAAAAAATTCATTTTCGACAACGATGGACAGCTCCAGCCAATCTATCTCTACAAAAAGCTATACGCCAAAAAAAAAGTTTGAAACAAAGCAAGGTTAAAATCGATTCTTCTGTAGTAATTTCACGATCATAAGAAAAGGAGAAAAAAAATCGAGGGACAAGCTGTGTAAGAAGCCTGAGAGCAACATCTCGGAAAGAGAAAAAGGAGATGTAATATATACGCACTCACCTCCAAAGACAGCAGCAATGAGGCATCCGACGAACCAGACATTGACGATCATGTTTTCCTCGTTGCAGTCGAGGGTGAATTCCTTCTTGACGAGGGGTGTGATCTGCCTGCCGATGCCCATGTCGTAGCCAAATGCTAGCCCAGCGGCTGCCGCGACAAACGAGACTAGGCCCGACTGGTTCTCCGAGGTGAGGGGCGTCAGGCTCTCGGTGTGCCTGGGCACGGGCTTCCGGAGCTTCTTTGGCGGAATGTATTCGTACTCCTTGATGGGCACCTTCAGGCTCGTCGCTGACTGTTGTTGTTCATTGTTATTGTTGTTGTTGCCACCACCCACGTCGTTGTCGGTACCATCACCGCTACTGGCCACGCGGCTAGCGCTCTTCAGCAAAATCGTCGTGTCCTCGTCCTCGGACATTGTGACGCTGACAATGTTTGACCTATATTATTTCTGGAACCTTTTGCCTTTGGAGATGGTGATAGTATGCAGCAGCTCAGGTACTGGTGCTTATTATAATCAATTTCAAAGCTGTGTTCCACATATTATGCCACACATCACACCCAAAGTATAATACGAGTCGTCTCTTTGGGCGAGGATTTTAATTTATACTCGGTCCCAGGTATTAGGGATGCACAGATATATGTATATATCACGCGTGTCCTGCGATATACGTACACACACCCCCTTGCCCTTAGGTGTACTTATGCACTTTGGCGTACTTTCGTATGTGCATGTATACACTGCGCAAGTGTGTCCTGAAAAAAAGAGTAACGCAATAAGTATATAAGTTATTTGTAGCTGCTGTAGTTTTTAATCTTCAACTGCGCTATAATATGCCAAGTAGGTAACGTACACCTCACCTATGCCGCAACGACGGTGTAAGATGGGTATGTAGCCGAGCCACCAGGTCACAATAATACACCTCTTTGGAGCAGCTCCGACTCCGAATTTCGGAGTCGGAGTACCAGCTGACTTTTGGACCCTCGCCAAAGCCGTGAGAGTAGGTATATGTGTATACAATCACTTACTCTCGGACCTTCGAGTTAAGCGAAAAATAGCCTCTCTCTCTCTTAAGACGAGCTGCAGCACTGTGGAGTTGCACCAAAAGGGAGAAAAAAAAGCTCGAGCGGAAAAACATCGCAAGAGCCGTGGATGAGCGAAAACAGACGCGCACCTTATATATTTCTGGGAGTCTAGAGAGACCTGCACACTATAGTGCTGCTGCTACGGTGCGAGTATAAGGGGAGCTTGATCGGTGCGAGGGGGTGATCGACCGATGGTGTCTCTTTCTCTCCGATGATGCTCGTTGTTGTCCCTTGCGCTCTTTTTCTGATGTTGAAGCTTTTTTTCTTTCCGTCCTTTAACTAGTGGCTGGAAAAAAATTTATTACTCCTTAATTCAACTGAATTTCACAATCTTGTTACTTCAATGGTTATCCTTGAGTCTACTACACGGTATCGATGATAATCGAGGGTGGGTTTTTTTTTTTTTTTTTTTTTTTCCTAGTTACAGATGCACGACAAACTAACAACATGTTAAACGTTTATGTAAAAACATTTATTATTTATGTATTAACATTTCTTACATTTTTTTTTTCTTTTCCTTTTTTTTCGTTAATAATTACATTATGATCTGTTTCGAACATCTTTTTTCTTTTTATACAAAGTGTATGCCAACTCGACAGTGAAGGTGCTTTCGATTTGATTTTTTGCGCAACCAGTGCAATATGGAAGATTTATTTCCATACAATGTTGTTACGTTTTTTTTTTTTTTTTTCCACACCAAGTGTGCAAAGTTCAGCTTGTGAGTACGAAAAAGTTAAGCCCACCACATACCACTTTCTTTTGAATTGCAAAATAATTTATCACCGTCTGGTTGATATTACTACTTTTACACACTAAAGGCTTGTAATACTCATATTACTTGATTGCTCAAATTTATATTTTTGTACTGCAACAGCTTTTGAGATCTTACGTGTTTCTACTTGTGTGCAACAATATAAAATTGCACCAATGTTTTTGGCTACTGACTGGAAATACATATTTTTTTCTGATTAGGTTTTAAAAATCTGCTTCAAACTATAAAGCATTTATCGATTTAAACAATTGAAAATAAATATATTATGCACATGATATCGTCAATTCTATTAACGTGGTGTTTTGAACTTTTCACACTTGTGTTTGAAAAATAGTTTACGCAAAAATGCGTTCACACCAATTATTTTTCACACTCACGATTGTTACCCACTTAGGCAATGGTTTATACACTGGTGGAAAATATACGTTTGTTTTGCGCACTAGTAACGTAATTTATCGTTGACCAATTCTATACTATTTCACGTGTCTATAATGAATTTCACACAACAATTTAATGAACATTTTACAAGGGTGCATCATTTTTCAACTATCTTACAGTATAATTTTGTTTTTGTTTTTTTTATTTTTTTTATTTATTTTTTTTAATTATTTTTTTCAATTTTATCACATTTAAATATCGCACTAAAAACGTGACTGCCGTAATCGAGGCAAGCCTTTTTTTAATATCAACGTGAGCATAATGTGAGTTACTAGGAATAAGTGCTGTCACCTGCTGACTTGCGTTTTATAGCTCAATTAAAATCTTGCTCAACACTTTAATTTAAAGTCGGTAAGTTTAACAATCGTAATGATTTTCCTTTTGTTTTCCTGCTGTTGAAAAACTATAGAAAGTTAAATTAATGTTAAATGGAAAATGTTAGGTCAGTGGAAAAATTTAAAAGATCTGCAGCAGATAATTTTGTGTGTATAAAAACAGATACATGTATCATTAGTACACTGTCAATAAATGAAATAGTTCAGCAAAAAAAAAAATAAATAAATAAATCCGAGAAGGCGGAGAAGGCGGGATTTCGCATGTACATAGGTACGAGTATAGTAATAAAAGAGAGATAACACATCATCATGGCTCAAAAATAGAGGAAAGAAAATGAACAAACGGCTCGGTCGAGTAGAGTTCAACAAAGGCAGTGTCGCAACCTTTTTTATTCCTTCCCCTTTAAAACTTTTACATTTTAACGCTTTCCCCATCGACAAACCCAACGCGAAATTGTTCTTATTAATCGTAAGTCTATCGTTTTAATCGTACTGGCACGACGAGGACAAGTAGCTGCAACAATAGCACAGGCACATAAACTTGGGCAATTTCACCTAAGCCAGAGTTTTAGTCTAAGTGCATCTACACCGTTGAGATAGTAACGAAACAGCCGTTTGTCCCGGACGAAACCGAGATTTTCGTACAACCGCAGTGCTTGGTGGTTTGTTATCTCAGTTTCGAGCACGACCTCGTCTGCATCGTCCTCGATCATCGCCTGGATTGCTCGTCTTACTAAATTCGAACCAATTTTGCGTTTTCGATACTTCACATCTACGGCCAGCATGGCGATGTAGCCACGCTTTATCCCTTTTCTGTGGAGATCTAGCTTACACACTATAGCACCTATACACTCCTTGCCATCCATTGCCTGTAAAAATAAAATTATTTATCATGTATACATTTAATACACTAGTTGAATTATAATTTTAAAATTAAATACGATACAAAATTTTTTTTTTATCACTAGTTTATGTAAAAAAAAAAAAAAAAAAAATACAGTTACAAAGTTTCATACATCTCTTTCAGAAAATAATAAGCATATCGTCATCAGTGAAAAATGGCAAAGCGCTGGAAAACGAAAGCGAGGCTGCTCCAAAGTGGCAAACCGTCATGGCCGACCTGTTGCACGAGCTGTGCGCGAACGAGAAATCGGGAAACGAGACCGTACTGCTGGCAGCCCATGCTTACCTATCGCTTCGACGAGCACTGGAGCCTGCGACCGACTTCGAGATGGTTCTGAGCAGCTACTTGGATTTGAACTCCAGCCAGATAATCGACTTCAAAAGGATCTTCCTCGTTAACAACGTCGAGCTGTTTAGGCTGACAATAAGCCATGGATTTCTGCAAGCCAACATCCGCGCCAACGTGCACCAGTTTCAAGTGTACCGCTCGATATTGAAGATCGTCCAGCCTCACTGCATCAGCTACACTCATTACACGTACTTCGCTTTCAAAATCCTTCAGATGTGGATGCTGAGGTCGTCGGCGGTGGGTCTCTGGTCGGGAGACAGCACGGAGTTCGAGGCAGTGCTCGAGCCGTTATTGTTCTCCAACTGGGACAACGCGATCTGCAAGCAGAACGTCGTCGGTCTGTTCTCTGCCTACCTGGCCGTCGTCAAGGACAAGCACGAAGATTACCTGCCTTACCTGTTTCACAGCTGTGTCGAGAGGATATCGTGGTGTCACGTCACCAAGTACACGATACTCGCGGAAATCTGCAGTGCCATGGACTGCGTGCAGCTAATCACCGAGGCCAAATTTGTTTCGAATTTATTCAACAGTCTGACCGTCAGTCACTTGTGCAACGCCAGCACTAAGGTTTACTCGGTCATTAGCAACAAGTTATCGATGAACGTGTGGCAAGCAGTATTTGGCGACCAGCTCAAGAATTACGTTACGACTTGGGAGGCCGAGTAAGACTTTATTATCTACTTTATCCACATTTCGACTGATCGAAACAAATGAACAACGAACCCATATCTTTGGTTTCAGAAAAAAGTATAGCAGCCTGCAGGTGTTGTGCAAACGCTGGATCGAACCCATAATAAAGATCCACCGAGAAATTCTGCCGTTCCTCCTGGAGTGCTGTGACGAACAGAGCGTACTGTTTCGATCGCACTTGCTGCGGATCGCGAAAAAGTGCGGCATAGTACTTCCACGTGAACACCAAAAAGATGACGTTGACTTAAGGCTTCTAAACCACGAGGAAGAGTCCGTAAGACTGAATGCGTTTGCAGCGCATTGCTATGCTGTGGGAGCAGTGAGCCTTCAAACGGACTTGGTAGAAAACTTTGCAGTGTCCGCGGTCAAGCATTTCTTGTTCAGCAACGCGACAGCTTCAACGACGTATCTGAGAGAGGGAAGCTTCAATTACTTCAAGATATTTTTATCCAACTTGCTTAGACAAGCCTGCTTGCGAAAGGACTCAACCGAAGCCGTCTCCTTTTTGGAGTGGCTGCACGAGTTCGAGCTCGATTGTGTCGAAATTGGTTCCTGCTACCAGCGCAAGATTTTCGGGCTGCAACTGTACAAGATCACACTGCAATTTTTACAGAGTAACGATTGCACGGATCCCATTGTGCTGAAGGATCCGCATTTTAGGGAGGCTATCAAGTACGGGCCACTGTTGAAAAAGGAGATGGAGGATCGCCAGAAGTGGAAGTTTACCTGTAAGAAGAGCGTCGTTTTGCTTTTTAAGCTCGTTTTAGATCCTGCATCCGATGTTAGAGGGTGCGCGACTTCGATTATCATTGACTTTTTTGATGCGAGCGTTATCACAGATTCAGAAAAAAAGGTGAGAAATTTTTTTTTTCTTTCTTTTTTTTTTTCACTAGTGTTCAAACGAGATGTATACATTACTGATGTTTTTAGATACTTTTTGTAACAGCCCTAAACAAGTGTAATTCGCATAAATTTTTCGAAACGGAGAGCGGCGCTTATCTGTTTAAAATTTTGACTGTGTGGTACCCCCTAAGCAAAATCAACGCAGACAGCTTGAAATTCGAAGAGAATTGCAAACCGCACTCTCCAATAAGAGAATTTTACAGCTACACGAGATTTTTGCTCAAAGAAGCGATGCAGCAGTTGATTCTGGCGAAAAAAGATATTTTAAAGGCTGCCACGCAAAATGCACCGTTTTATGGAATCGTTTGTGCCCTCCTGATGATCGGACTTGACAATGGACCAGAGTGCCATTTCATGAACTCAAACTTTTTAGAAGAAATCCTTAACATGGCTGAAGGAGCTGTAAAAAATTTTTTAATCACTTTTTCAGTAAAATCGTCAAACTTGGGTAATTTTCATTTTAGTCAATAATCACAAGTATTGTGGAAAAAACGTAAAAATTATGAAAATCATGTGTAAAATTACAGAACACTCGTCGTCGTTCAAAGAAATGAGTTTAGCAATCGATGAAGCAATTAAAAATAGCGAAATAAATTACGAGTTCGACGAACTTGCTCTGTCTCCTGCCCAGCAATCAATAATTACCTGTGTTTGGAGATCCTTGAAAGTATGTATTGATTCACTAGCGAATAAAATAAAATTCAGAACAAACAAAAATTAATAGAAACATGAAATTTTCTTGCTAAGATACTTTGCGAGTTAGCCGTGGCAATAGCAAAAAACGAGCAGGCGACGGACTCCACGGTGCGTCGAGCTATAGATCTTATCGTAATGGTATCGGTAAAGTGCCGACACAAGGGTGCCATAGAGTCAGCAGGAGTAGCGATTGCCAGTTTAACCAGGTATAAATGTTAAATTACGAGAAAAAAAAAACTAAATCCAGTCAAGCAAAACTCACAAGTATTTAATTTTTTTCCAGACATCTCTGCAAAAAACAAAGAAACGTAGAGCTGCTGGAAAATCACCTCAAGAGGCTTTTGAGCGACAACTTTTCACTGAGCATCAATCTAACGCGTAGGGGGGCTGGCCTTACAATACTCTTTCACAAGATGGTCGCCAGTGATATACGTCCAGACCGTCCACTGCTCCACCTTGCTGTTAACTCATTGTTGCAGTTCCTGAAAAAAAAGCTAACGTCAACATTATCGACAAGTAGCAGAGCAGATGAGCTCAGCTGTAGGGACAGCTGTAAATACGACGAGCCGTGCGCCATGCAGCTTCACTTTCTTAAGAGCCTCGTTGCCGATCGACAACTTTATCCTCAGCTCAGTCAGTATCTCGAGCAGATTTGCCTCGTTTGCTTCGAGTACATACCGTCACAAGTCTTCACGATACGGTATACATGGTTGCTCTATTAGTATTTTTTTTATATACACATATACATGTGTGATGAATTCTATAAAAAATTTAAGTTTAAAAGAAACCCCGAAAATTGGAAAAAATCTTTTTCGAAACGCACTTCTGGAATAAGNCACTTACTTACACCTAAAATATATGAAAATTTTTATTTCAATTTTTTAATTTTCGAAAATCGATTTTTTTCCTTTTTCGGGAATAACTCTTGTAAATATTAAGACATCAATCTAAAATATGAAAAAAATACGACGGTTTATCAATCATTTTAAAAATCGTTAATTTTTATCAGTACTAGACTTAAAGTGTTCAATGAAAAATGTTTGTCATTGCTTTGATTTTCGAACACTTCTTGTTCTTTTTTTATTGGAAAATTTACTCATCACCTTCAATTGTGTAATAGTTATGTTTCGTAATGAAGGCATTTTTTTGTTATTAATAATACATTTTTTGACAAAACAATGCCGTAAAAATATTATGTAAAATTAGAAAATTAAAAAAAAACTTGTTATCAGTGACCATAATTTATATAGTAATTTTAATCTAGTCAAGGCGAAATTTATAATGAAAAACAAATGTTTCAATTATAAATAAAGTGATAACGTTATAAATAAATCTGTTTTATACATAAAATGTATCGTTATTAATGAAAGTGTTAAAAAGTTATGTGCGTTAGCAGACGTTTTTTTACTTAAGCCCATAACCTGTTTAAAATATATTAAGGGAGGCGCAAGATTTAGCATCAGAAGAATTATCCAGTATCAAGTCATATAAAAAAGTAAATTCTATACATTCTACGAATAAACCAACTTTCGGTCAAATGAAATTATATTTTTATACCTTTTGTATTTATTCAATAGATTTGCACGAAAATGTTTACTTAAAACGTAATGTGAACCCTCTTCAGGGATCAGATGCTTCCACAGTTGACAGCCATAATTTACTTTTTAAGTACTAATAATTATAGAGATATTGCCCACCAACTCTCACCTTTTCACCTTTTTTAATACAATTTATTATACAGCCATAACAGATGAGTTATCCTGCACAAACAGGTGTACATAATTGGGACCTAAAAAAAAATTAGACTATAAAATTTAAATTGGCGTCTTGAAAAAACACTCAAGCCCCTTTGGTGTATTACCTCTGGTACTTTTAATTTTAATCTTTCTTCTTTAGTCCTTACAAATACAATGAGAAATTTTCGCAATCCTCACACATTCGTTCATCAAAAATTGCATTGCTTCAGCTAACATTTAGCTAATTTCAGCTAGTAATTTTATTATTCGTTTCTTCTCTCGCTCTCTTTCCTCGTTTTATTTAGGAAATGTAAGTAATGTTAACAAGAGTTTCATAGCATTGCGAATCATCCGCAATCATTAGTAAGTCCGAACGGTATTCGCATAAAGTGCCAAAGTCTCGATTCGGCATTGAAAAGGCGACGTACTTCCTACTCGCGATCTCCATTGTAAACTGCATTTAAAGATTTTCGGGCAATTGGAAAGTCACTATTTTCTCACCAAAATATTTAACCTTCCTAAAACTCTTTGATCCTAGATTTTTTTCATTTTCATACGTTTAGCCCTATCCAAAGGGTCACCGTCACGTCAAACAATTCAGATTTCTTTTAATGGCATTAATTCTTATCAATTCAGTCTCTTGAGTTACGTGTGATGATATTCATCAAACTGTTGAAATATGATAGAAAGCTAATGCCAGAAATTAATTTAAGTTCCTTAGACAGTAAATCCAACGACAAGTTCCAGCAATTATAGGGCGAAGGACAGAGCCCTTTGAATAATTTAAAATTAGAAGGAAGCCGTTTTTTTAGGCAGTTAGGACGTAAGAAGTCGCTCTATCTCATTTCTTAGGCAGCAAACGGTGTCCTCAATCGATTGTCCATATGTACATTAGTACTGTAATATTTCGAAGTAGTATACCTATGCTCCATTGACATCGAAACGCCTAAACTTTCAACCTCACCCTCGTGTCCTCTTTAGACATTTATGAATAATAATAATAATGCTCGAACTACATTCCAGTGCTAAAAAATTTCCGAGATCGTGAAACTACAATTCCTTGAAGTAAAAACTTTCCAAACTTATTGCGTTTGATTCATTTGAAGTTTTCCTATATCGGTTAAAAAATAGATTATTTAGTAGAAACATAGTACAAGTTGTTACCGGTCATAGTGGGTGCCACAAGCACACGACAAAGTTAAATACAGGACTATCTCAACCTGCATGTTTTCCCTCATTTTTCGCTTATCTTATCAAAAGGGTTTTTATTTTTTCCAATCGTTTAAAAAAGGTTAACTGCCAAAAAAACACTTAAACAATGGAAGCGGATTGGACTCATAACCTACTTAAAAAATGTTAAGCAAGTCGCAATATTAAGCATCTAATAAATTTAACCATTACTAAGCCATCAATTACGGGTTTTGTATGGCAAAGGTGAATTTATCGTGATTTTCAACATACGTTGACCAGACTCAAGCATTTTATGATTCTTATCCTGTCTCACCGCTTAAAGAAAATTTAATTGTCGCAAAACACTCGTCCTATGGAAGCGTACTAGGCCCATAACCTGTTTAAAATATATTATTAAATAAATTTACCTGTTATCATGTCTTATTGTTAACGTTAACATTCCACGAAGTACTCGTACTATGGAAGCGTACTAGGCCCATAACCTGTTTAAAATATATTATTTATTAAATTTACCTATTTTCCTGCCCATTTGCTTGCATAAATTTTATTAATTTTCCACGAAATACTCGTACAATGGAAGCGTACTAGGCCCATAACCTGTTTGAAATGCGTAAATTATTAAATTTACCTATTATCCTGCCAATTTGCTTGCATAAATTGCATTAATTTTCCATGAAATACCCGTACAATGGAAGCGTACTAGACCCATAACCTGTTTAAAATGTATTAATTATTAAATTTACCTGTTTTCCTGCCCATTTGCTTGCATAAATTGCATTAATTTTCACTAAACACTTGTGTGATGAAAGCGTACTAGGCCCATAACCTGTTTAAATTGCATAAATTATTAAATTTACCTATTACCCTGCCCATTTGCTTGCACAAATTCCATTAATTTTCCACGAAATACTCGTACAATGGAAGCGTACTAGGCCCATAACCTGTTTAAAATGTATTAATTATTAAATTTACCTATTTTCCTGCCCATTTGCTTGCATAAATTGTATTAATTTTCCACGAAATACTCGTACAATGGAAGCGTACTATGCCCGTAACCTGTTTAAAATATATTAAGGGAGGCGCAAGATTTAGCATCAGAAGAATTATCCAGTATCAAGTCATATGACATTGAACATGGAATTGAATAACAAATTTACCTGGTTATTATACTGCTCTATTGTTTATATTAAATTTAATTAATTTTCCACAAAACACTCATAAAATGAAAGCGTACTAGGCCCATAACCTGTTTAATAAAATTGAAGACATAAGATTTAGCATCAAAAACTGTATCTAGCGCTAAATCATATTACAGGTTGGGCATGTAATATGGTAAAAAATTACGTGGTTATCATCCTGCTCTATTGTTTATGTAAAATTGAATTTATTTCACACAAAACACTCGTACAGTAAAAATATACTAGGTTCATAACTTGTCCACAAACTATTCAGCAAGGCACAAGACTCGCTAAGTCTTGGTAAGGGCGTTTCCGTTCCGCTGCTGTAATATCTGAAAACCCTTATCGATATTCCTTGTGAACAATCCTGGCCAAGGGGCCTGTTTTTTTAAGTTTACATCCTTTTATTTATACCGATGAAGTAATTTTTTGAAAGATGTAAGTGAAGTAAGGTTATGAATCAGAGATAGGATTAATACCCTCTGTAAATAGGTGGTAGAGGGCATCCGTAAAAATTAATTAGTTTTTGACTAGGAAAATAGAATGTACGTGTGAGAAAATATTAGTTTTGGATAACTAATTTTGTCTACATATGTATATATTACAAGCCATTAAAAAAAAAATTTTTCGAAATTCTTATTAGTCACACTTACTTACACCTAAAATATATGAAAATTTTTATTTCAATTTTTTAATTTTCGAAAATCGATTTTTTTCCTTTTTCGGGAATAACTCTTGTAAATATTAAGACATCAATCTAAAATATGAAAAAAATACGACGGTTTATCAATCATTTTAAAAATCGTTAATTTTTATCAGTACTAGACTTAAAGTGTTCAATGAAAAATGTTTGTCATTGCTTTGATTTTCGAACACTTCTTGTTCTTTTTTTATTGGAAAATTTACTCATCACCTTCAATTGTGTAATAGTTATGTTTCGTAATGAAGGCATTTTTTTGTTATTAATAATACATTTTTTGACAAAACAATGCCGTAAAAATATTATGTAAAATTAGAAAATTAAAAAAAAACTTGTTATCAGTGACCATAATTTATATAGTAATTTTAATCTAGTCAAGGCGAAATTTATAATGAAAAACAAATGTTTCAATTATAAATAAAGTGATAACGTTATAAATAAATCTGTTTTATACATAAAATGTATCGTTATTAATGAAAGTGTTAAAAAGTTATGTGCGTTAGCAGACGTTTTTTTACTTAATTATATTTATACGTGATGTTTGATATTAATAAATATTATTTTGCAAAATTTTATTTTTTGTTTTATTGATAAGTAATATAAAAATATTGAATAAAATAGCAAATATTAGAAAAAAAAAATTTTTTTCGTGGCACACCCTCAAGAATCCTGATACCATGAATGGGTACAGGCATCGTCTTCTACTAAATCTGGTTCGAAGACAATATGTTTTTCTCGGTATTTTTTTTATTTTCATCCTGAAAAAAAGGTGGTAATTAATCTAATCGTAACTCAGCTCAAAACATACTCAAAACTGTTGATGAAGGTAGAAATTTTCGAGTTGTTCTCAGAAAATAAAAACGTTTATCCCGAAAGTCTGACTCAGTAAAATTTTTTCCAATTCTCGGGTCCCCTGAAATTACCCTAAATACCAAACAATAAAACAAAAAAAAAAACTCGACTGACTCCACGACCATGCGCAGAAACGCGAGTTTCCAGCTCTTCGGTGCAATAGCAATGCGGCTGGTCGGCCAAAACACCGGGGCGCGAGAAGTCGACTTTGCCTACGGCTTCTCCATCAACCACTTCGCGTCGCACTTCCCGCAATTGGCCGGCTACGTGCTTCTCAGCCTTCAGAAGGCAGCCTGCTCCGACGGCGACTGGCAAAGCACCACCAGCGTCATCCACATTCTAGCCCTGCTCTCAAAGATGTTCTACGCCGGCTGCGAACTCGTCGACGGCGCTGCGCAGACCTACGTCCGGCACATTCGCAGCTGCCTGTGGCTCTTCCTCGGCAGTCCCGTGGCCTGCGTACGGAGCCTGGCCGCGAGGAGCCTCGCCGCCACCACGGGCCGATCAGAGCTCGAGTCGAAGATCAGTCGGCTCGAAAACACTCGGTACCGGCAGCCGGCCGGCTTCAACCGGCTAAACGGCGAGCTCCTCGCGCTCGAGTGCCTGCACGAGCGACTGGCCGAAGAGCTACGGAGCACGAGTGTTAGGCACTCGAAGAGTAAGTCCCCAAGCGAAGTGCGACGTAATCTCGAACTCAACTCCGAGACTGAGCTCATGTGGCGGCTCTGGAGCCGCAGGTACACTGTTGAGAGATCCCGGCTCTGCTACGCCATCGAAGCCCAACTGCTGAGACTGTCGCGCGAGTTTAAGATCGTCATGAGGGAGGAGGCAGCGATGACAACGAGAACCAAGACTACCGCGGATGAGGGATCCAGCAGCGGCCTCTTCGACGTCAATTTGGTCGAGGAGAGGACAAAGCCGGGCTTCTTCGACTTTGTGGACGAGCTGGTGAAGCTGTTCGTCAACCGCATTTCCTGCCGGAGCGAGGACCCGGCCTCGATCAAATCGATCCTTGGTGCCGGGTGTGTCGATCTCGGGGTCAGTTTTACGAGGCACGCGACCAGCCACAGCCGGGGCCTTCTGATGGCGTGCGTCGACTTCGCCCTGGAGAACTTCGACACGAGCCATCAGCACCTGCTCGAGGCGATAAACGCTTACGCCAACGAGTCCATACGGAGCATAATGCGTAGCGGGCTGGCAGAGTTCCAGTACCTCGACATATCCAAGCTGAAGAGCTTCGCGTCGAGGCTCGAGGCTACGTTCACCCGGACGTCACATCTGTCGGAACTACTGGTCTTTGTGCACGTGCTCTCGCTCCGCAACTCTGGGAGCTACGACTTCTTCGAGGACTTGATATCATGCGTCTCCAAGGAGAAAGTCACCCTGGCGAGCTACTTTGGGCAGCCAGAAGCCGTCAGGCAGTTGGTGGCCAAGGCCCTGGAGGTTCTGTTGTACAACTTTGACCGGCTAAACTCCAGGAGTAGGCTCGTGCCGTACTTGGCTTCGCTGGTGCTGTTGAAAGACGAGGTGGACTCCATCCGAGAAGTCATCCGTGACAGCGTCGTCGACAACGTGATCTTGGAGTTGGAGCTGTCGAAGACGAGGGTCATGGACGAGCTCGTCTGTTACATTTTGCTGCTCAACGCTGCATCCGAGAAAACAGTGCTGGGTGCAGATCTTACGCGCTCCGAGCTCGTTGGCCTTTTCAACAGGTACCTGTCCACGATTGAGCTTCACTCTGGCGCGATCGACATAGAGAATCCGTTCGACGACGACAATATAACTCCTTACAATGAGGACTCGAAACTCATTAATTTCGTAGTGCTTTGCGCGCAACAAAAAGTTTCTAAAGATATTCTTGTAGGTTTGGAGGGAATACTAGCGGGTATTAGCGATATGGTTTTTTATACCAAGAATCAATTGATTGAAACGATGAACATAAATTTCGACAATCTTCAGGATTTCTTGAACATCAAGTACGATGTGTACTTGGCTCGTAAGTTGCAAGTCGTGAGTGAAGTCTATTTGAAATAAGATCAAACTGCGATTGTAAATAATTTTTTTTAAATTTATTATCATTACTATAAATAAATGCTATACAGTGATGTAAAATTTTTTACAATCAAATAGGTATGTAAGTTCCAAAGTCAATGATGAGAAAAGCAGTCACAGAATCAGATGCTGCACATTTAATAAGTGACTTCGTTTTATTCTGTTATTATTGATTTGTTAAAAAAATAGATAAATATATGTATTCGTAATCATTGAACCGTTTATTTAAAAACATTTGTATTTTTTTTTCTTTTTTACTTAACAGTCTGCACTTGGATAAAAACATTGTTTTATAAATGTACTTTTACGTATGCGACTAACTTAAAAACGAGCGCTAATGCGTGATGGGGAAAAAAAAATCTGGTGGTGTATTTTATTTATAGTACTGTAAAAAATGGTAGCCTAAGCCACGGCGCATTTGTTATAATCAATAATTTTAAAATGCAATAATGCTCAAATGATGCTTGTTTTCAAAAGTCATTGTTTTAAAATACTATTTACATTACTGATGCATTCCAAAAATTCTTACACATAAATTATTTTCTAAAATAAATTTTCAGTACAACTGTGTAAGCTATTATAATTTATTATTTGTTCGTTCAATGGATAGAACACAAGTAACGCTCTGTACGCGACACCATGAGTAGTTTTTCTTTACAATGGCAACATCAAAAATCCGCCAACGTTCTGACATTTTAATGTTTCATGACAATAAAATTCATTTTACAGCTTAAAATTATCTAGGGTTCATTTATTTTACAGGTCTGTATAAAATTTAAAATTTGCACCCTATTTAATGTGTACATTGTATGTTACCTTGTTTTTTATATCTTTTTTATAAATATCCTTCGAAAATCAATGCGACAAAATAAATGTCATTAAAAATACATGTTGAGCTAGGAAGAATTATAGATTTTACTATCAAATTTATTAATTAAAATGAAAACTATTAATTTATTGCGTTTTTCAATTGCTTTATGGTTTTTAAATAAAATATGTATTACAATTGACAAAAACACTCTTTTAATAAGTAAATTACGATACTCGATAACTCAACTTTCATGGTAAGCATTTCAAATTTTTTTGGAAGATTTTTTTCTAAAGGTTAAATGTAGACAAACTTCATACCTTGGCAAAGGACCCGAATTCAAAGTTGAGTCACGTACGTAAGACTTGGCATATCTTCATCAAAGTGGATCAGTCTCAAAAGGGCTCCTTAATTCACGACTCAAATTTGAATTTGGGCACAAACAAAATTAACACATACGTACTACGTTAGAAAATATAAATGATCCCAGACTACCAATAAATATACGATTTTAAAGATTTTTTCTTTCTTAGATGCACATTGTGCTGAAGAATTGAAATTTAATTTCATCGGGAAAAAGCTTACATTACCTGAAATCGACGCTACAGGATTAAGATATTCATTAAAAGAAATAACGCCAGAAAGTATCATACAATGTTCAAATATATAACCTGATGTAGTTAAAAGTTCAGATGAATAATTGATTTCGTCAATTATTTTAAAACAAGAAAACAGAAAAAATTTCCGAAATCAAATATCTATACCACATTGTAATATTTTGGCCAATGATTAGGCGTTATTGAATCAGACAAAAGCATCAACATCAATTGCTTATAACTCTGCTTTATTAATCCGTCATGAATTTTTTACGTCAATAAACACAATTGATTGGTTTACGTATACATTACACATACATAACAAAGTTTAACCTCGTGTGTATATACATATTTTTGTATGCTAATGGCGTACAGATTTACGCATTTAAACTTTTGGAAGTTACTTTCTCCTTAACTGTACGTTTTTAGTCAATAACTGAACTTTACGAGAAAGTACTACACAACTCCATTGCAATGTATACTAGAATTCGTGAAAAATCGTAAGTCTTATGCGAATGTCGATCAAATCAACGAATTTTACAAATACCTAACCATTTATTCCTCGTTGAATTTAAATTAATATCATCCGTGTATATTTACAGGCAGGCGGTAAGAAAAAACACGAATTTTTTTTACCGTTAGACCCACACGCACACGAACACACACACACACTCATGAAACACATATTTGTAAAGAAATCTAATTATATGCATAAATCTCAACTTTTTCGTTTCATTACGAACATGAAATCGAAAAAAAAATGCTTTCAAGTATATATTCGTTTTTCGTGTCTAATAGTTGATTGTAATTGTACTATGAATTCCGAAAATCGAGGAATCCCAATGAAAATACCAAGAGTGAGAATCAATTGGAAGCTTTCGATTTTTGGTTTGTGCGCGACAATGAAAAAAAAAAACCCCAGNAAAAAAAAAACTATCGCACTTGTTCTACAAATTGTAAATCGATTCTAAGGTACGGCGAGAGAGAGAAAAAGAGAAACAATATTTACAGTATGATTTCTCCGAGCAGGCTCTCAACCGTAGCTTCTTGAAAGAACGCAAGTTTAAGTTTGCTTGACGCGCTTCGCGCAATTAACAACCGAGTTCATATGTTATTTGGACGTTTGATTCGTAACCACTGGTGATTTTGCTTTTTGCGAAGACTCTGCTGATTCCGTAATCATGGGCTGGTCAATTTCCATCTGGAAAGCAAAAGTACACATCAAGCATCTAAACTCGCTTAAATTTCAAACAAACAACTAATAAGCTACAGAAATAAAACAACAAAGCACCTTATCTTCCTTGTCGTCTTCGATGAGAATGGGCCCATTTTCAGCCTCGTACTCCTTAAGGACGGCGTCGAGGTTGTACCTGCGCCGGTAATTGACGAAGAACGAGCGCAGATGAGCCTCAGTCTTGGTGCCGATGACATCAGCTATGGCCGAGAAGTCCTTGCCGTACTTGCGCACCCCCTGGACGGCCAACAGGAGCTCGTCGTTTGTCCAACGCGACGTTATCCGGCTCGCATTCTCGCTCGGCCGTAGTTCTTCGATGCCATCGTTTGTTTTTCGCTTAAGGGCGCTCACCTGCTGCTTGTTCGACTGGATCTGCGTGGGAAAAAAACAAAAACAAAAAAAAAAAAAAAACCCAAAATCAATGAAGGGCCTAACAACAAATCTTTCGCGTAACTTTTTTTAGGTGATAATTAAATTTTTCTTTTTTCGATTTTCTTGTCAAATGTGTACAAATGTATCCACACGAGGGTATAAAGTAACTGTCGCAATGGAAGAGAATCTGTTTGCAAAGATCGTCCACATGTTGTCGAAAGAGAAAGAGAAAGACAACAATGAGAAGAAAAAAAAAACAAAGCAAGAAAGTAGAAAAGAGAGAGAGAGATAAAATAGTAGTATTAGTTATAAATAACGTACTTGTCGCTTGAGGCTAACGATTTCAGTGTCAATAGCTTGTAGGACGTTGGAGGCCTGACTCGTCTGTCCGGCGAGGGCAGCCAAGTCGTCGTGATTGACGACCAGTCCACGCGGCGGTTTTCGCTTGTTCGAACGACCCGGCATCGAGCTCAGCGGCCTCGCTACACCCGTTCGCCTATACACCGGTCCAGCCGCCAGCATTAGCAACAACAAACAAATATACATCCTTCATAGAACCTCGTTCCTTACTTCGACTCATTTTATGTATCATGTAAACATATTATATAAGGTGCATGTATAATGGTGTTTACAGTACATAAATACATGTCCTGTGTGTGCCATTCTTCTTCTTTTCACAACTCATCTCCAATCCTTCGGAATTCATTCATTCAGTCATACATATAATCAGAACATCGAGGTTCCCTTAAAATTTGTTGTTGTTTTTTTTTTTTTTTTCAATTCATGATTTTTTGACCATCGATCGCGAGGAATTTCAGATTTTCATTCCGAAGAACTGAGAAAGAACTTTTTCAAATGAATAATGAGAATTTTGTTCGGGTTTGCGTTCAAAGACTTGACTGGATAGGTCCATTTTATTGATTGTTTGATTCTTTTTACCTACTTTGATCACATACGAATAAAAGATATCAATCATTATGAATTTATGTTATATGGTTGAAGGTAAAAAATAGACTTATACAGTTGAGCCTAACAAAGCGAGTAAAAAATGTTTGTGAATGTTAATGACGAATTAAAAATTCTTGGTCAAAGGCCCCAGGAAAAATATTGTTTTCTCGAAAACTTATTGAACTCACTGACCTCCAATGCAGATAGCAGCTATGACACGCGTGTCCCTTGGGCGTAGCACGCACATTATGACAAGCAACGCCACAGTTGCTACACGAGCCCTACAACACATAATACACCCTTTTTTTAAATAGCTCAGTCCCTCCCGCTTTACCTGTATATTTTATTCATGAAGAAAAATTTTTCGTTTTTTACTCTCTTTATGTTACTTTTTTGTTATTTCTTTACATCGGAAAATGTGGTGTTAAAATTGTACAGTTGATACATTAATCTCGGCTAAAAATTGTGTATATGTACAAATCTTCTCATGCGACTGTACTTAATAAATTTTCATAAATTGAGTCTTTATGCGTACTTCTGCAAAAATGTTAATGACTTTTAGCATTAATTAACACAGATATTTTGCTAAATGATTACGTGATAGTACTTTGATTGTGTATTATACGCATCAGGAGCAAAAGCAGTTTGTAAGTATTTTCATCGCTTGGACTCGAGGATTTTTCAACTGCAAGCTCATCCAGTAAGGGGCTACCTGTCATGTCCGCTCACATTCTCTCACAAATACATTTGCATTATAAACAAATATGAATATCATCTGTTGGTGTACACGTACATGACAGAGTGTCAGTTTCAAAAATGAGTGGCGACAGTTGTCAATTGAAGTAAGTTTGGCAAATTAAATATAGGCCAATTAAAAACATTATTGAAAAAAATAGGTGCTAAAGCGACTGAGAAAAAATTAGAATTTGTCAAAAAGCTAAAAAACTTCCTTAAGTTGTGAACAAATTATAAACTTAAGTAAAATAAAAATGAATCAAGTTTATACACATTTACGTTCTAAAATTTTTTCAATAGATTAATATTTTAAGTTTTGAATTTACAAGTCACCGCTTGGTCCACTTTGAAACATTTATTAGTGCTTGGAAAAATTAAACAGATTGAAGTATACTTATTAATTACAAGAAGTATAAAAATATATGTATGGTACATATATATAATTAACGTGAGATAAGAATTAAAAAAAAAAAAAAAAATTAAAAGTAGACATTAAATATTGCATTTAAAACTTTCTTTCACATTTTTAGTGAGAAGTGATTAACGCACAATCTATACTTGTTAAATCTACAAAATTGTAATGAAGACGTCTACTGATGTATACTGTGGAGTTGCAGATGAGCACATGGACACAAAAATAATGTAGTTATGTTCGTGGGCGGTCATGACGAGTATAATTTTAATTCAATTGTATTATTTATTGACATTCATATGAAATACATACAGTCATATATGGATACAGTTTAGTTCTAGTTTAAGTTAGTTTATTGGCTTTGCATTTTTTTACATATGCCAGTATACTACTGATATGGATATAGATATGGGTTATTGGGTATGCTGTCCTGCGCCCTCTACTGGATGGGCTTGCACATAAAAGATCCTCATAGCGGTTGATAATATTTATTAAAAACTTTGTGAAACAACTAAAAATCATTTTTGGTAATTTTAAAAAAATGAATGGCATACAAATTGGATTTAATTAAATACCAAGATGATTTCACAGGAAAATAATCGAGTGTTATTATTTGAGCAAAATTAAAAGGTGCAAGTAAAGTTGTATGAATTGCAACAGGTACTCTATAGGTGAGAAGTTGAATAACAATAATTTGGTGATGATATAAATAATGACTTCAAATTTTGTACAGGAAAGCACCAACGGTCGATAACTAAGGATTTTTTTAAGTGTATTTACACTGACGCAATACAAGGAAGAAAAGTAACATAACAAATACACAGAAGTGGGTCGGATAAGCAGAACTAAATGAAATGTCTAAGCAATAGGAACAAGTTTTTTTTTTTTTTTTTATAAAGGTTTAGGCTGGGTACCTGAACCTGAGGGACGTTTTCCGAGTCTGACAAGGCCTTGGCGTCATTGCCTTGGCTTCCTGGCAAGGACTGGTTCTTTCCACGACGAATTCCGCGATGGATCGTCCATTTCTGGAACGTTCCACGTTAAAAACAATATAAACAATCTCATATATGTCATATGCATCGACATTGATGAAATTAATACATACGATATTTTAGTATAATTTTGAATTCCTACCATCTAACATTTATTAACATTCAAGGAAAGATGTAAAATTAAAATCATTCAAGCAAATAAATTAATATTAATTCAAACATTAAACATAAAAAACGAATGTTAATGAACGATTTTAACTGTAAATCTTTCCAATAATTGTAATTATCATTCACGGTGATAATGTAAGTGAGAAATAAAATAAAATCTATGTATTGAAAAATCCAATGAATTTTAAAATGACATCCAAGTCTCCTCAACCTATGTCTTTGTGACGGTAAATTGTATTTTATGTGAACAAATTTTATCTCATGTCTGTATGAGCGACAGTATTTCAAAAGTCTCGTCATTTGTAACGTGTGGATACATTTTGTGGAAAGTACCTATCTTCTACGAATATGTTTTATAGACATGATGCAACTGATCAAGGCATTCTCAGTAAATGTTTTAAAAAAATAATATGTAATAGGGTAGGTAATGTTAATATTTCGAAACGAATACCATTCCCTTTGAAAAACACATAAAACAACGCATAAGAATAATATATTGATATTTACACATTATTAGTGTTCAAGTTGAATGAATTTGTATTATTCTTGAGCGTTTCTTAACACAGTGCAACAACAATGCAATTTTTTAAATTCTATCAAATCAGTACAACAATGACAAACGATACAGTTTAATCAAAACAATGCGTAAGATGAATGAATTCCGATATGTGCATACAATACAAAATTAAAAGGATTAAACAGATAAATTTCACAGATTTTGTAGCATGCAGAAACACAGTAAGTAGATGAAGCAAAATTGTGAAGCGTAAAATTTACTTACTTTATCATCTTGATCGCTATCCGATGAACCCAACTCGCTGCCGTTGTCGCTTCCGTTTTCTCCCTCTTTGCCAGATGTGGTTAATTTTCTCGCTTGTCTGTCCATTAAAGATGTTTTAGTACGAGTTTTTTTCCAACTGTAGTAATATTTGACCAGACTTGCAATTGATTTGTCTGGAAGCTAGTTTTTTTTTTTTTTTTTTTTCATTAGTAATCAACTGGAATACACGGATATGTGGTGGAGAATTGAAAATGTAAACTTGAAATTGTTAGTCTATACCATTTGACGTATTCTGTGAAAGCTTTTGCCGTGAAACTGAAATGCCTGCTCAAACAAAACTTTATCCTCCACCGTCCATTCGTCTGGGAAAGGTGTGAAATTTGCAAGATCGCTTTCAGCTCGTTCAAGGTTGTGTTTGTGCCAGAACAGCATTCCCAAAGCTTGCTCCCCATTGTAACCGTACTTCTCCTTTGCCAATGAAATGTAGTCCTCCACTAGATCAACATTTAATTAATAAACTGGAACATTTTTACAGCTAATCTTTGAAAATCGTAGTCTTACGTTTTTGTTCTGGTATGTCGGTTGTTGGTGACCAAACGAGAAGAGCCTTTTCAGGGCACAGATCAAGCTTACGATCTGCAAAGTAGATAAAAGACCATTAGGCATGATTGATTAGAATAAAAAATATAGAAAAAACGCCCTTGGAGCTCAAGTAGATTTTACCTCCAATCGGAATCAATTCTGGAACGCTGACCTGGAAATCTCTTCCAACTCTGATTTTCTCTGCTGGAACTGTAAGAAAAAAAAAAAAATTCTCTGTAAGATGTATTAACGTAACTGCAACCGTCAGAGAAAGAGATAATAAGTACACCCAGTGTAAACTGTAACATTTTCGTTTTCAAAACTAACTCTAAAACGTACCCTCGTTACCACAACACGGTAAAAGACGGCAAAAAAAAGCAGAAAAAAGAAGGATAAAACAAAACCGAAAATTCATGCATTTGAACATTTGTCGGAAGCGATGGTAAAAGCACGTGTGTATAAATGCAAGCCAAGTCCCAACAAGCCTTGAATCACGGGACAAAAGAGAGAGAGAAAGCAGCAGGAGAGCTCGAAAAAGTGGAGCACGCCGTGTGCAACGTACGGGAATACGTGTACTTCCACGAAAGAGCTGTTCCCCAGCACCGATCGATATTCCTGAAGCCCCGTACGGACAGGCCATCCCCTAGCGCGAAAGCTCTCCCTGCAAGCACCTCCTTCTCCTCTCTTTCTCACCCCCCCCCCAAAAAAAAAAGAAGGGAAGACTTGGCTGCTACTGCTAAGAGAGAAAAAAAAAAAAAAAAAAAAAAAAAAAAAAAAAAAAAAAAAAAAAAAATACTCACCTCCGTCCTCCTCGCTGGAGGTATCGGTTTGTCCATTGGGACTGGGCCCCCGAGACCTGCGCCCGTTTCTCACGTTCTCCGAGTTTCTCTCGGCCAGCACCATCCTGGCCGGCTGGCTACCTCTTTCGAGCCTGCACTGCAGTCCTGCGGCGGCTTCCTGCTGCTGGCCAGAGGACCGACAACGACACCCTTGCGCTCAAGCAAACAAGCGCAGGGATATCTCTTGCAGTCTCTCTCGCCCTCTGGTAGCTTTCTCTCTCTCCTCCGGGATGTATTATACGGTAGGGGGAGGCGGAGCGTGGACGAAGAAGAGAGGACACCGAAGAGGCCCCGCTCTCTCTCTCTCGGTGATATTGCGCCAGCAGGAGTTCCTGTTGTTGGTTTGTACACCTGTACTTATCCCGTCCTCGAGGATCCCCCACAAAATTTTGGCTGGTGTGTACGCGCCCTTACGCTCAAAGTGAGCGGGCACCTGCTCCGAATTTCGGACGATAGTATAAGCTGTTGGAGGAGCAAATATACGAAACGCGCGCGCACTGAGACAGAGGCACTTTTACTTATACATGCTGATTGTGAAGTGTAAAAGAGTTGGATTTAATGTGTATATACCATATACACACATATATATGTGATGCACACTGTATACTTTGGTGTAGTTTTGTGTGTGCCCCAAGCTCTAATTATGACTGCAACAGCTTCGCGCGACCGTAGTTCTTTGGACTGGAGCAGTAAAATATATATATATATGTGTATATACGTAGACACTTATTCGGTATACCTCCGCGAGAGGAGTCTGCGCGGCAACGAACAACCAAACGCAACCAAAACCAGACACACACACACACAACACACACTCTCCTTGTGGCTGTGTGTAATGCTCTGTCTCTCTGCTTATAGTCTGCTGTGCTGCTGTCGTAGACGGCGTCTGTATAGATATGAACTCTCTCTCTCTCTTTGAATTGTTTAATTTTCTTACAGATTTTTTTATGCCTATATATTATATATACCGACGAGCACTTTTTTAAATCCTATCAAAGTGACCTACGAGAAAGCGGGTAGGTACAAACCCCCCTTGCTCTCACGAGATGGATAACTCGCGCGCGAAAAAATTAACGTGCAACTGCAACACAACAGTATACCGAATGCATTATTGGTAGGTACTACGTCCCCTCTCTCCCACGGGTTTTTCTCTCACGCCGCCGGCGCCGTGTGTGTGTTCCCCCCCACCTCATCGATGCTCCGTAAGTGCAAATGTTTTTGACCGTCAAAAAAGCGCCGCACAGTATAGGCGCCAATTTACAAATCTGCTGCCTACTCTTTTGCACAGTTGAACTGAATCATGGAAATTTGATGTTCTTTTTTCTGATGGATTGCGAAGAAAAAGAAGTAAATAAAAAATACGACAAAAATCGGTCATAGGTTTATTTTTGTTCTTAATTTTTTTCACTATTAATCCTAAAAATCAGGTTGTGCTTGGTTAAAATTTATGGACTGATTTTTTTTTGTCAGAGTTGAATGATCAAATCACTTTTCGTTTTAGTATAATTGTTTGTTTCAACACTAAACACTGTAGTAGTAGACAGATCAACGATTCTGACCAGATAATCAAGGTGGTCGAGGATTGACGGTGTGATTCGTGGTGCAGTGACGATAAAGGAAAAATAAAAACACTGCAAACGAATTATCATCGCTCTTTCTAAGTACTCGGATTTCCAAATTTCCTGCGAGGATGACGACGACGATATATGCTTGGGCTTTTATCATCATCTTATACACACTTTTTATTTGCATGATGCAGAAAATTAAAAAATCAACTTTTTCGCTTTATTTTCACTTTGCACATCTACCCAGTCTTTTCAAAGAAAATATGTCTTGCAATGTTTTTCCATTTGTTTGATAGCCATGATATTATCAACAACATGCCTGTGTCACGTCATTCAGCCCAAGATATACACGTTTTTAGCTCAACAAATAGAAAGATCTTTCGACCAGTTAATAAAACATCGTGATATGAATAAGCTTTCTCGGAGAGTGCGTTGGTTCGTTCATGTGCATACTTATGCAGGCTGCTGTAAATACTTACGTGTCTTCCCGATGAAGCATCAAAATTTGTGTTTTGAAACGGGGAGCTTCCGTGTGTTATTAAGTACGGACGTGAGCCGTAGCCCAAAAAGCTAAAGGAGAAGATATTGCTTCACATCATATTGACACACACGTGTATTTTAATTTTAAATCACACAATTTAATTAATAGGTATATACCCAAGTATTGCAGCAACAATTTATATAATGCGTCATGGATGTGTGTGATTAACAATAAAAAGTTGCAAATAAGACACCGCGTGTACTCCTGCCTCTGTTTAGTCATATAGGAAACGAGGGAGCAACTTTAAAAAAATTTCATCTTACAGCCACATGTGTGCCGCAGCATTACGTTATTATATATAT